TTTCCCTTTTTGTGTTGTGTTTTCTCTTTTTGTGTTGTGTTTTCTGATTTGCCGTTGTGTTTTCTGATTTGCCGTTGTGTTTTCTAATTTGCCTTTGTGTTGTCTAATTTGCCGTTGTGTTTTCTCTTTTTGTGTTGTGTTTTGCACCTCAGGGCCACCGTATATAAGTCATACTTTCATCGTCAGTTCGCATAAGACAACAACAGTCAATATAATGTGCTTTAAATAATATATAACCACTGAATAATAGCGGATGAAACTTTTGTTTTTTTTTACTCTGTTTACAGTAATGTCTATTTTACCAGATTTTAAGGGGCAGAAATGTTGCTGTGTAAACTATTTTTTAGAAGAAAAACATATGTAAGGTAGTACATCTATAGTTGCTGGGATAAACAAAATTCTGGTGATATATTAGTATTTCATTACATCTCGTTTAATTTTTTTTAACAAAAGAATGGGGGCAGTTTGTTACCTAATAGATTTTTTTTTATTTGTTTTTAAAGAGTTACATAAAATAATAATAATAATAACAATGTATTTATTTTGGAGTGTCATCAGGGTTTGTTGAATGAAAGCTTTAAGAACTCAAGTTAGGTAGGATAATAACACGATATGACTTGAAATTGCACAGTTTAGACTCGGATGTGTCATTATTGTAGATTTGGCTCTCGAGAAATGTAGATTTTACTCTCAGCTTAATTTCATTATTGCAACATGAGTACTGTACTTAACTGTATTGTATTTTCTTTTATAACCATAATAAAGATGAGAATGTTTCAGCCACAGGGGATGTCTTTTTAGCAGAGCAGAATAAAGAAACCCTCAAAACAAATATCCTCCTTGTACAAATACACCCTTTATAGCCACACAGTTTCAACTAATCTACCTTATAACCTTTATCCACTTACATTTCAACACACGGTCTTACAGTGTTGTTGGTTTAATGGCAACAATAACAACAAAATCAAAAAAAGTTTAATAAGACAACTTATTATTAATATGATGAAATATATGAAAAAATCTAACAGGACTTTTTGTTATAAAAAAGCACAACTTTATATAAGCCTGTCTGGCTTACAGCATAAATACTCAGATGACTGAGCTTTCTGCTTTTTAACATTTCCTAAATATTTCTAATGAACCAAAGTGATGCACAGCAGAGCAGCTGGAATGTGCCAGTGGTCCATGCATGTTTGAAGGTGTTTTGGGGTCACAGAAACATCAACCTTCTTGTGTATTGTCACCAAAGTCAAATAAATACGTCTCTGCTTCATTTACAAAGTACCTTGATGGGGAAATACACACTCGCCCTTCCTTCCCAAAGTTCCAGTAAACAGTGTTGGAGTTAAAAGATTAAAAGGAGACTAGTGTGTGCCTGAGTGTTAACATGCTTTCATTCTCAGTCATCTGCACACCAGATGACTTCTTTACCTTTCTGTGGGACACATAAGTTAATTAGATAGAAAAACAAATTGTAGGTGATGGTGCTTTCTGCAGTTTCTGTCTCCTTGGTGTTTCAATTCTGCTTTCATATTTTGTCTCTTACGTAACTCAGCTGGATAACTCATGGTAACTCTAAAGACAAACACTTTAAGTTCAATAACTTAAGGAATGTTTTTGGATGGGGCTGTAATATGTGTCCTCTGTCTGTTTTTCAAATTATATCTGAGCGGTAGAACTGTCCACGCCCTGGGTTAGGGTCACTTGTTATCTTCCACCAAATTCATCATCATTTTGTAGCAACTCTGGTGTAGAAAGGGGCCTGTTCGGCCACAGGAGGGCAGTGATGCTCTGTAGTCAAACTAATGCTGCAGTAGAAAAAAATGGCCATTGATTACAATTTACACATTTCTTTGTTAAAAATATCAGCACTTTGCTAGAATATTTCTATAACAATATCAAAGAGAACCATACTCTAGGTGATAAATGGTAATGCTATTGTTCTTTTATCAACTTGTCTCTCATATTATATGTCATATAGGTTTACATTTTGATTCCTTGCTATGGTTTGCCAAAATGTGCATTTATGTTTTTAGCTTGGTAACAGCCATTCATGTCTCTTTGCACATGGACTGTGGGCACAATTCTGTGCAGAGGAAGGTATACGACATATGTTGAAGAAAGATACTCTCGGTGATGTACCCTTTGAAGGGTTTCTGTGGCTGCTTGGATTTAAACCTTTGGGATCCTAAGACACCATATGAAAAGCTCAAAGAGGTCATGCTCGAATCCCTGGTGACTTATACGCTGGCTGATCTCTGACCTTAGGTCTAAAGTGTAAATAGAGCTCTGATGACATACGAGCAAGCCTAAATGGTTCTGGAATCATTTTAAGACACATTAAACAAATCTCTGTAAAATATGAATTAGAAAGACATGATAAATAGTCAATAAGATGACTGACCAGAGCAATGTGTGCTTTGTAAAATAACCACCAGGGGGCAGCGCAGCACCATTTTGTTTGGGATAGGCTGACATTTAGTGCTATTTTCAAAATCTTTGGGGAAATTTTATTCAAATACAGAAAGCTACTGGATTTTATATGACATTCACATCTTCATGTGAAGGTTTCTTTATCTCAAATGCTTAGGTTTCACACAAAAGGTGCATTTGAACATCAGCATTGTGAAACTTAAAACAGTGCTGTAATTCCTGACATTATGTGTTGTGTTGGTGTACTGGCAAAACGCTTGTTTCAGTTACTTGCACACACAGAGGCAGATGTTTGGTATGGTGGCCGAAAGGTGCAAAGGTTTGTTTGACGCAAACACAAAAAAACTGGTCCAAAGGAAAAAGAAACAAGTCTGTAGAATTTCTAGATAATTCCAAAACATGCAAACACAAAAAACAATAGAACATAAAAACACTGCAAATAAAAACTACTGCTCTCAATAAAAACAGTCTCATCTACCAGAGCTTCTATATGTCCCATTTTTGTAAATGTTGCAAATTACAAATGGGAGGGACGTGATCTTCTGTCAAAAAAAGCTTTTGTTCTGTCACTGTTTCATGAAGACCAGCTTATGGAATGCAAATATATAGCTGTCTTTTTAACAAATTATCCACAATAATGTTTTGCTTCCATGACTTGTTGGTTTAGGTGGTCAGTAATGTATCTATATATTTACAGTCAAGCCATATTATTTTTGTTCACAAGTAATTAATAAAACCCTGTTCTAGGATAAATGATCTACATATGTTCTCTAGCAAAGAAAAAAGAAACAGAAAAATGAGCTGAAAACCAGGGAGCGTTATCAAAGATCCTTCCTCCCAGCAGCTGTAAGGCTTTATAACCATCACTGCTCCCAAAAACCTCAATAAGTTCTTACATTTATGCTGATTTTGTACATTTTCTCTCCTAGTCACTTAAATAACATGCTGCTGTAATTTTACACATATCTGGTCTTGCAGTTATTTTTCCATATCTACTACTGTAAAAAACGTTCACAGCTATTTATTTTATTATTTGTTCACAGTTATTTATTAATCTGGGGACCGCATGGCATTTATATTTGTAGAAAAAAAAATTTTTTTTTGTTTATTTTTAAATGTTTTCACTTATTCTGTTATTTTTGTACAATTTTAAGGTCCACGTTTATGTTACCATTTTTGCTGTAATGCGTTTGTGGCTGAAATACTACAATTTTCCCATTGTGGAACAATAAAGGGATTTTCTAGTAAACATTCAAAGCTTTCACATTAGTATTACACAGCTGGCCTTTATTTACATATCCGGATTCCTAAACGCATTATTTTGACTGGTTTTATTTAGTGTCATCAGAATATGGAAGGCTGAATAGATATAATAATCACTCAATATTAGTAATTTTTTGTAAAGCCACGTGATCCTATTTTCTTTACTTCCAGGTTGTGCAGTACTTACTACGTACTAATTTTGGTCATTACATTACAAAATATGTAAAGAGTAAAATAGTTATGAATACCTTCATAAGAACTTAAAATTTCTGATTTGGCTTACAGAGTTAAAGATAGGGCAAGTTTAATGTAATGTAAAAGAATAGGTATGGAAACCAGATTTAATGAATTATACACTTCATGAAGAGACGTTTATTACATCAGTAGAATATATCATCCAAAAATCAGCAACAGCAGCACTTAATTTCCTCACTCCCACAGCTCATCCGACAGGCCCCATATATTTCCTCCACATAATGATAATCTTATCATACGCACATCCACAACTCTGTTGTTCAGCTTGTCTCATTAGACTAAAAGTATCTCAAAGATGCTTCCAGCTGCTTCTCATTTTTCTCCAACATAGCCTTCAAAAGCAGATGGAGCTTGCAAACAGTTGTAGCAATCGGACAGGGCAATGTTTTTGAAGGCTAAAATGATCATTGTCCATTGTTCGATAAAGTGGTATGTGGAGACTGGGATCCATGGGGAAATCATGTTGAGTTCCTGTTTATAACATGTACACTGCTTGGAATATCCACAGAAGCAGGAAGCGCATTTTTCAAGTTGCTCCTATTGTGTACTACATAAGCAAAAAACAGATCAAATGTGACAACATTAGACTAGTTTATCATTGCTATAGCAGAACAAGAACACTACATCATCATTCACATGTACTAATAAAATAGTGTCATAGACATGGTATTTTTTTATATGACATTCACAGTTACATTCAGGATTCGTGATTGTGCACTGTTTATCAATGTTTTGATCAAATTTCTAATGTTACATGCAGTGAAACTACTGTGTTACGCTGCACTGTGTTTAAAGTACATTACAGGTTACTGGATTTTTATCCAGTGCATTTAATATGCAATTCATGTGGTTACTGGTAGATTACTTAAAATCCTTTACTTGTGTAGAAAATTATTACAATTTTTACCTTATTGGTCAAGTAAATTAAAAAGAGTAAAAAAGAAAATAAGTCTATGCTAATACTATATCACAATGTACAGAACTGTTTGTCAATAAATATGCAAGGATGTAGAAACAAAGCTCTCAGACAGAATAATTAAATAGACATGCAGACAATGCAGCTTTCAAAAATGCTAAAATTGGAAAAATTCAGATGAAAAAATAATGAATCTCTGTCTAGGAAGCTTATCTAGGACACAAACAGACAAACACAGAAATACAAGTACAAAATGTCCCTGTTTACAAATGTTTTGCAAACTATTTTCGCAAGTAGATATCTACTTTGGGCAAGAAAGACAAACTAGATAATTGCAAGCAATTCCATTTGTGTTGATAAGATCATTATAGAGATCAGTATTTACACATCCTACTTACATCAGTGGCAGTGGATAACAAATGATAACTTCTCCTTTGCTGTTTCAAGGTATTTTCAAAACTGCTGATTTACCAAAATGTTTTGTACATGCCTTGAAAAAGTATTTATACTCCATAAACCTTTTTATCATAACTCATAAGCTGGTATGACTGTGAGGAACAACAGCAGTGGATAACTGCTAACAAACAAACAAACAAACTGTTAGGTGGAGAGTTTAGTTGCTGGACTATATTGCATTGTAACATACCGGCAATACTGTTATATTAAATTATCTTTCCTGACTTCTTTTTGCTTGTTTTAAATTCCTACCCCACTGACTAAACATTTTCCGATACATCTAAAATGCTCAAGGCTAACAAGTGTGTTTGAAAATGGCAATGCAACATGGCTCCTCCCAGTGGGTGCACTGCCCCATTTATAAAGTACAAATTCTAAGCTTTTAGTATGCTTGCATTTTTTATTTGACATTTGACTTGCCCAGAGAGTATATTCATACAAGCACTGTATTCGTAAAAGTTTTTATGATTCGCTTATAAAAACAACAAAACTAATTTGTAGCACACTTTCCCTTTAAATAACTTTGCTTGTTTCCTATTCTTCCTTCAATTCCATCCTGAAAAAAAGACTTCAGGACTTTAGAAACACATTTTCCATCTCAAATTTTTTTTTTTATCCTACAGTGGGCTAACCCATCAACTCTATTAATTGAAGTCACTTTTTCGGCAAATTGTACAAAATATCCTGATTGATGCTAACCTTTTCATGAACTGCTACATTATTCTATTCTATTCTATTCTATTCTATTCTATTCTATTCTATTCTATTCTATTCTATTCTATTCTATTCTATTCTATTCTTGTGCAGAATTAAAAATGTTTACCCTTAATGTAGAATTGTTATTTACAAGTGAGGATTAAGGTTTTGAAAACATTAATCAGATGTTCTCATGATAGCTAAATTTCTTAAAGTTTAAGGAGTATAAATTCTTTTTGCAGTGTAGCTTAATTCTTATTGCCTTTTTTAAGCTATATTCTACAAACTACTTCTAGTACAATCTGATCCAGTCATTTGTGTGAAGAACAGAAACTATCAGCTATTTTTGGCATTTGGAATCTAAGAAACACGACCTAACTACAATACAATGACCAATTCCCAATGCTAGAATTGTCAGCAATGTCTACAGAATGGGTACATTTGTTTTGTGCCGGGTGGTCCTACCCTCTGCATTGTTCATGTTACAGAGGTCATCAGTGATGATGTGCTCCAAAGGTCTCCTATTATACAACAGCATCCTTTTTCCTGTGGGCTGTAAACAAAACTACCCACGCGTAGATCACACCGGTGGATCAGAGCAGCATTACTTTTTTATTCGATTCTGTCCAGTTTTGTGGCATATGTATGTTTTAAGGAAGTCTTTAGGTTTTAGGTACACAGAATGTGATGTGAGCATACGAGCATAGTCTGAAGCTTTATGCTCCAAGTTAAGTTCTGTGGGTCAGACACTGCGAGGGGCCCTCTCCAGTTCATGGGTCCTACGGTTGCGACCTTTCTGCCGCTCTTGCAGGTGCTTCCACTTGGACGTCATGCCTTGTGTGCGCATGTTGCTGTGAGGACTCGCCGCAGCCTTCTGCTGCTGCTGATTGTGTGCTTGCACTTTTTGAACATGGTGAGCTTTCTGTCGCTTGTACTTTCTCTCTCTTTTCCAAACCTGATCACAGAATTCATCCACACTATTCAGAGTTGGATGATTGACCAAAGACAGGAAGTCCCTGTACCACAGCTTTTGATTTGGACTTTCTCTAGACAAGGAAAACTCTTGGGCTGGGACACTGGTAGCTGTATCTTCATCACGATGTAATAAATCCCCCAGCCGTTCTGCGTCAATCACTTCTAGGTGAACCTTCAATATGGTCTGCATAAAGCCGTGTTCCACTGCATGGCATAAATATATGCCTGAATCCTTCTTGTCAAGAGTTCGGATCAGAAGACCCTGATCCGTCCGAATGAAACGTTCCTCTGATTGGATCTGGGCAATTAGAAAATTGGAAGTAGAAAAAATTAAACAAAGAGCAATAAATAAGGAAAGCAATACAAATTCAGAACATAAAAAGGAGCTATTAACAATAACATTTGCACAAGACTCATATCTCCAGAGTTTAAAGAACCAACTCTAATTTAGATTTAAAAAATAAATAAATAAATGTCCAATAAATAAACAAGTGTACAACTAAACAGGTAAAAAAGAAATACATGAAACAAATAAATATAATCACCAATTTCAAGATACCATGAGAATTAAATGAATACATTGTAATTTATTCAGCTTTTTAATAATTACCTTCTGCTTTTTTTTATTTTTTATTTTTTTCATTTAACAATTTACTTCTTTTTTAATCTATTTATTGCATTGAATGCTTGTTTTTCAGTTTTTATTCTAGATATTTTTACTTTATCTCCTCTACTTTACCTATTAATTAGGGATGCACGATATTGGGATTTTGGCCGATATCCAATATGCCGATATTTTAAAACTCATGTAGCCGATAACCGATATCGATACCGATGTTAAAGCTGGACAAAAATAAGTAGTCATTGAAAATAGCAGTTTTGTTATCCATTTCTGACACTTTGAAAAATAATATAATCAAATATATTTTCATATGCTGATATCAAATTGATTTTTAAAAACGCGGTATCGATCTATCTTACTTTTTAAAATCTCGTGATATTTTGCAAATTCTTGTGAGATTTTGTTAGTAAAATGGATCGATACCACGTCAATATATCAACATATAAAAATATGGCAAAATTTCGTACATTTTCTGCGGATTTCGTAGCATAGTAATGGCATATAGCAATATTTTATTAGTAAAAGAGATTGATATGGTGTTTTTAAATGGCAATATATCAGCATATGAAGATATTGTGATATTTTAATGTATCAATATTTTTTCCCTTGTCTTTAGAAGTTTTTAAGTCTGTAAAAAAGAAGTTTTTGAGAAGGAAGAAGAAGTAGTATTTTTATTTTTTTTTTAGACTTTAGAGGTGGGGTGGCCGATGTCCGATATGCAGTTTTAAGGCCGATACAGGCCGATACTGATAGGGGGCCGATTATGTCGTGCATCCCTACTATTAATGTCTGTCCTTTTCCAATTTTATAAAAGTTTTCTGTCTCATTATGTAAATCAGGTGTGGGGGGTCTTAAGGACACAGCCTATGCCTATTGGTTGGTTGGACCGGATGAAATCTACATTACAGCTATAAGAAAGATGGCTACCTACTATGAGGTTTTCAGTGAGCTGGACTCTCTGCTGTAAGCTCTCTGTTTCAGTGCTTCACTGAAACATTAAATGTAATTTATTCCCTAACCACCTGCCATGCAGTCCACACCAGGCTTACTCTGTATAAATTATGTCGGCATTGGAAATTCGCCTCCTAAATAAGGTGTTTTCTTTAAACATCTGCTTCCACAGAGCAATTTCAGAGTCAGTCTTCTGCTTGTATAGAAATGCACTTCGCTGCATCCTGTATCCTGCAGCATGTCGTTTTTAACATTAACCTTGTAGCTTAACCTACCTATGTAATCTGTATGTGTCTCTTTCCCACCATGTATTTACCATCCATTAGCTGTCTTCGCATTTCTGATTAGGATGTGATTTTAAGCTATTTATTTAAACGTGTTTATCTCATATGGACTAGACCATATTTTCGTCAGCAGGAGTATTAAAGTATAATTCTAACATTTGATCCTAAATAATGTGATGATAAATCTTTTAATTTTAAGCTACTATGTTTTTTTTTAACTTTTATTTGTTTTGGAGGTGAAATACCTAAAGAAATTAAGAGAAGAAAAAAAAGTAAACTGGTGCTTACCTCTTGTTTGCGGTCATCAGTGGAGTGCTGATACTGCCAGTAGGTTATGGCTCTTTGGGACTTGGGAACACATTCAAGGAAAGTGCTGCTGTTCTCCACACCATAGACAGTTTTATCGAGTGTGATTGCCTGCCCACTGAGTTCATCTAGTAAGTCGAAAAGATTTGATTTAGTTTTACAAGTTGTGTAACTGAGTACGGTTATATTAACCATAACACTGTCACGGTTTAAAACAATTCTAAATTCAACCTGGAGAGATTCGCACCGAGAAAAACTGCAATGAGAAAAGTATTGTTCAATTTATTCTTACAGGTAACACAATCATAAATTAAGTAAAGCAGCTGATTGCATTGAATCATTGACTCTTTGCATTACTCACACAGAGCATGCATGTAGCAACAGTGGAGAGGAAAACTCCCTTTTAACAGGAAGAAACCCCTGGTAGAACCAGGCTCAGTGTGAGCAGCCATTTGCAGAAGCTGACTGGGGTTCAAGGAGACAGAAGCAGACTTGCAGATATCGACATAAATGAAATAAGTTCCTCAGGGCTCAGGCTGCAGTAGAAGACTTTGATGCTGTGTATCAACATTTGCTTTAATGATTAACCTTGAAAATTATTAGAGTAGAGTAGTTTTTGGGGCCCAGAAATTGTTGGGGGAATGAGCCAGAGGGGGAGGAGGGACTGAGACTGAGGGAGGAGATGGGGTGGCAGAAAGTTCTAGAGAAGATAGGCCAGGAGCTAAATTAAGGGGATCTTGACAGATCATTGGCGTTGGAGGAGGTGCCACCCCAAGTTGATTGACTGGAGTTGAACCACGGATATTGCAGATGGTTCTGCTGATAAGCTGAGAAGTTTTCCAGATTTAATTTTTACTTAAGCTTCATTTGTCAGCATACATTTTTTTTTTTATGAGATTAGATATAAAAAGAAATAAATACTTATTACTACTGATAAAAAAAAGGTGATTCCTACAAAACAGTGAGAGAGTGAAAGCCCGAGGGAATCTTGATGAGTGTTACGTAAACCAAAGGTTATTCTCATACCATCAGAAACATAAAATATACCAATATAACACCAAACTGAAATAGCAGTTTTGGTTGTGTCAAGAAATAAAACTGTCACAATAAAATCTTTTCTTGTTTAAGGACCTTGCTGCTGCAGATCTGAACACTGAGTGAGCGGGTCTCCATTCCTGATATCTTGCCTTCTGGTTCTCCTGCAGAAACACAAGTACAAACAACTTCATGAGTCAACAAAAAAAAAAAAAACACTGAAAGTGTCTGGGATAAGATTTATGTCTACTGGGAGTGAGACTGGGTGTTTGTGTGTGTGTGTGTGTTTAGGTTTGCATTTGAATGACATTTGGTGCATACAGCAAAACTGCAGGCCAACATAAACAGATAAACTGTAGGCAGGCCATTTCTCGGTTGAAAAAAATTAATTGCCAGGTGGGAAAGTTGGAATTGAACATTAATCAATCATCCCAGGCTGTCAAATGTCTGAAATACAAATACTAAAGATGACATTTTGCACCAAAGTACCTTCAGTATGTTCAATAACAGAACAATAACAGAAGCAGCTATGGAAACAACAAAACAAACTGATTTCTGCCCATCTATTTTATATTGTTTGAAGCCTATTAACGTAGTTTTGTTTAAGCTACCATGTTTATAAAGATAGCATTACATTTAAAATGTTGGAGTTTAAATAACTTTGAAAAAATGAATCTGTTTTAGTCAGTAAGTCCATTGCAGTCATGAGTGGGAGTATGAACTCAAGAAAAAACACTACATTTACTCCGAACCTCTAATGTCTACCAAGTCAGTTATTCAGTTGAATATCTACCAAAAAGAACTGAGGTAACTTATTTTTTATCATAACACATGTTAGGTACATAACTTGGGGACAATTCCAGATTTCTTTATATCTTGTGTGTAAATAGCAGAGTTTTTTTTTTTTTTTTTTTTTGCAACAACTTAAAAGAGTTTGGTCTTTGTACCCTACCCTAAAGGCAAATGATGTATTGTGTGCTAAGAAAATAGAAAAATGGACAAGTAGAAGAGAATAAGATGATTATTTCAAGCTTAAAATCAGGAAATGCTGAAAAATGTAGCATCTTCACTTGTTTGTTGTATGAAAAACTGAATATATAACTGATTGAACTTTAAATCTGACCATGTACACAGTTTTCTTTATGTAACATCTATCAAGGTCATTCTTCCCAAAAAAACCATATACCATAGATTTTTAGATATCCATCATCTGCTAAAATAAAATACAATATGTCTAATTCTGAGAGATAAATGAATATAAAATTTGGATTGATACCTCTTTGCCATTGGGAAGTATCTGGAGCATTCTGTGCCATCCCATGCACAGTAAGGGTCCCTTGCCAAGCAGCATTCGGCACATGCCTTTCCATAAATCTCACAGCGGTGTAAAGGCATCTGAGACACACCGATGTCTGAACCAAGATAAAGTTGTTGCTAAAAGAGAAAGAAACTAGGTGGTCAATATTGAAGAACTGTAAGCCAATATTTCATTTGAAATAATTAAGCCTTTAGTGGTTACTGCTGTTTGACTGTTAAACGTAACAACGACTAAATAAGGCCCCGCCCTTAAGAGAGAAGCTGTTGGACTCTATCTTTCTGTTTTTATTCCTTTTTATAAAAATAATTGTTTTTTTCATATAATATTTCTTCCTAACTGAAGTAAAAAAAATACTTGGAAAGTAGTATTTAAATAAACCAACTTAAGATATGTAACACTGTTTTAAAAAAAGAAACCTTTTATTTTTAAACTAGGTAGACTATATAGGCTGATCTCTTCAGCCCCTCCTAACTGTCAATTAGCTGGCATGTTTTCATCTCCCTGTCATTTCAGCTTACAAGCTAACTGTCACTGGAAAGCCTGCAATTAAGCTTTGTTTATGTGATGACATACAACTTATCTCAGTCTTTAAACCATGGCAACAAAAATCTCTTTGTTCTGTGTGTATGCCCTTAAGGCGTATCACCTATGAGAAAAAAGGAGTTCTGTGGGCAGGTTTTCTAAACACGCCCTTTGTATAAACAATCACGTAAGCTTTTCAAGTGTTTTTCTTTGCAACAATACCATTAAGATTTCAGAACCAATGTAAGAATCTTTACCTGTTTTGTTGAAAGCTCCATAGCTGTTATTGCTACTGGTTCCTAAAAGAATTAGGAAAGAAAAACAATAATTATACATAGATTGTTGATTTTAATGTCACCGAAGATTTATCACCTCTTGATATGAAGAGTAACTTACTCTAAAGACAGTCATTTCTTCCAATAACACTTCTTCTAAGTCATGCCAAGAACTTCTGGGGATGGCAACAACTTTCAAAACCGTTCCCATGTCTGAGAAAGCAAAGAAAAAGTTAAGATTTTCACCACCGATAAATTGACAGTAGTTTGGTGCACTTTGTGGGGTATATTTTAGGAATATATTTAAATACCTGTGCCTATGAACATGACATCATAAATGCCATCTTCAGCCTCCACTTTATCAACGACCATTTGAGTAAACTGGTAGTCCACATCTGTTTTGACAATTATTGGTTTATTATTAATTGGATAGATAGGATTAAACATGGCTGGATGGCTTCTGGCAAAAGTGACCACATCATCAGGGAACTCCTTGGTTGTGTCAAATCCACCAAATGTCTTGCTAGGGCACTGCATAAAAAAATAATGTAATTAGGGAAAATAAAACAAAAATCAAGGGGACGCATTGTTAAGCTCTTAGCTCGGTAAACAGGACAATAGACTCACTGTGCCTGGTCGGGGGTAGGGTACACGTCCCTGAAAAGGGACCCACTGATAGCTGGGTCCGTCTCTATGAGCATATGGACCTAAGAATGCTCTTCTAATGTCTGCCATGCTGTACATGCAAACTGCTGAACCTTTGAAGATGTTGCTGAATGAAAATTAGAATGGATGAGATAACAATGAGCATCAATTACGAACACATAAAGTACAACAAATGCCATCAAATCTCATGATCTAAATTACTTCACCACACCTGGAAGTGGTGAACACTCCATAGATTGCTGGGCTCTTAGGATCCTTGGTGCTCATCAGAAAGACATCCTCTAAAAGAAAAATGTGGAGAAAATAAATAAATTGAATTTTGCACCGAAAAATAAAATATAGAATTTTGATATATATGATATGCTGTGCGCAGTTATCACTCACGTAGTTCATCAAAATGTGTGTCAATCCCATTACTGCCCGGCACAGAGCAAATCAGCCGAGCTTTTAAGAAAGTAGTCCACTTATTGACCAGGCTCCTGTGGCCTCCAAGGTCATTCTAAAAAGAAAATTAATGTTCTTAATCAACTGAATCTTTGATAAATCCTTAATTTTTTAGTAAGAATTTTCATGCACGGAATCAAAATTGTTTGCATTCAATGTTAACTGTTGCATGTGAAGTTGATCTGACCAGATTCAAATGCTTGCTTTATCTCATCTGGCTCATGTCTTAGCTTAATTACTGTCATGCACAACTAATATTGCTATGCAGTTCTTCATTAAACCTACACACTTAATTTTGAAAGTTATACATGTGTGGAAAAGGGTAAAAAAGTTCAGTCTTGTCAATGCAGAATATACTTGAGGAGAAATGTTAAGAAATTTAATTTTAATTCCTTGCACAGTTTATTGTGCTAATTGCTAATAGAAGATGAAACAGACACACTTTGTGTTTGTTTAAAAATAGAAAACCACTTTTCACAAATACTGTATCTGCTTTCTCATAGGATAGCATGACCATGTAAGGCACAAGCAATCTGAATGTTCTAATGTATTATACAATAAATCATTAAGAAAATCAAAATCACCTAAAATATGTTTACAAAAACTCATAGTCAGGACACAAAATTCTGCTCATCACCATTTTTATAAGCTAGATAAACAAATGCTCAAGCTTTGTAAAACTCCACATTTATAACTCTTGAATTCTGTTTTAGTGACAAATTGCTTTTCATTTGTTTTTCCAAGTTAGAGGCATACTGTTCCCCACCACCTCAATGTGTTACATTCATTTCCAGAAAGCAGCATGCATACATAAATTCACAAAGTCTTCCCTCATACAAAGGCATTCCAATAAGTAGATTTATAGCCGCCAAATAAAATATGTGCAAATATGCATGGGTTTAAATTAATACCACAACTCGCATAATGAAAGAATTGTCTTGTGTTGATGATAGCAGATTATAGAAATTCTTGGTGATCAGGCTGTTATAAAGAAACCTTGGTCTGCAATGTAACAGGGAAATAAGGCTACTTGTCAAATATGAAATTAACAGATAATGTAAGATGTGGAATATGAAATCTGATACTTAAGAGCAAAGGTAGTGGCGGGAGGATTGGCACAACATTGCAGTCATCTCAACCTATCATGTTCCGATGACATTTAGCCTTCCCTCTCTCTCAGTCTACTCTTTAAAACTGATTGCACCACAATCCAACTCACCCCTTTTTCATGCTAAAATGTGAGTGTTTATCAGATCTTAACGCTGTATCACAAAATAATAATAATAATAATAATAATAATAATAATAATAATACATTTTATTTAACAGCGCCTTTCTTGACACTCAAGGTCACTTTACAAAGAATACAAAAAAAAAATAAAAATGCTGGAAGTTGTGTGCATCTTTTTTGTTGCATGTGGTATTTTTTTATTTTATTTTTCCACTTTAAAGGCCTGCCTAGTATCTGTGTGCATCCTTACTTTGCAAAGCTGTCCAATGCGAGCATATGTGGCTTTTCCAGCATACTCTCCATCCATTGCATTCTCTCTAAAGAACAAGTAGATTTTGTCGTCCTCTGGATTGTCATTTTCTGGGATCAGATGAACACCTACAAATCTAGGATCTACAAGAGAAAACTTAGTCAAACATTGTTCATTTTAATACTAATATCTATAGATGCAAATAAACTTAGTGGTCAAAAGTGGTGCCTTAGGTGTGGAGCAAGGATTCTGTTCCCCCATTACAGTATTAAACTCCAAATAGTCTAATCTCTCCCTGAAGTCTTATAAACTTATATAGTTTATATTATCTCTCATCTTTTAAAATTAGTAAGAACTTAGTAGAACATTTCAGTCCCACCCTTCTTCACCTGAGAGTTGGTTTGAACATTCTGAGACTAAAAATCATAGTCTAATTGTGATCTTAAAACAGACGAATTGACATTATTTTTTTAAGGTTTAATAAAGTTCTTCATTTTTTTTTTTTTTTTTTTTTTTTGTTCACTGTAAATCTGATCAAACAGACCAGAAAATCCCTATGGAATTTCAGCTGTAGTCTGCAGGTCGTTGGAACTGGTAACCAATTTCAAAGAGAGTTGCATGCCTGTGAGATGGAAAGCTCAACACCCAGAGAAACAGGGACCAGAGACTATTAATGAATAATACTAGCTGTATAAACTGTCAATTTCTTATTAATAAGTACATGAACAATCAATCATTGCCATGGTTCAATCTTGGAATCTCTGGCCCAACTGGATTTTAAAGTGTTAGACTGCTCCACCACTGCTCCCATGCACATGAGATATACTCTGTTTTTTTCAAGACTTGGCTCTTGACTTTAAACTATGATCAACCATCTATGCTTATACTACAGTTATGACACAAACAAAAACGGTGGAAAAGATAAAGCAGAAAGTAACTACAAAAAGCAAGACAAAGAAAACAAATACAGCATATTTTCTTCAGTGGTCAGAAAAACCTTGGGATTTAGTTTCATTATGTTAACAGAACTCAGGCTGCATAGATTCGGCTCTAATAAAATGTTTTTTATATTAAAATTAAATCTTGGAGAGAATTGATGTTACGCTTCATGCTTTCTGTATGAACGGCAGTATTTTCAACCAGATACACAATACCATTCATCTGTATCTGTTAGAATTCTAGTTTTTAAAGTAATGCATGACCATGGTAAATAGATGCTAAAACAATTTTTCACAATTTGTTTATATATTTTAAACATTATACGTTTGACCCACTCAGTCTTTGGGGGAATACATGTAAAACAAACACCATGTGGTGTAGGTCAGAAAACACTAGCACCAATATCTTTTAAGAACATTTTAGTTTGGTTTCAGCATTCTCTCTTATGTGATAGAAGTGTTTCTGCTCCCACATTTTATTTATTTATTATTATTTCACTCAGTGAGATTGTGGAGATAACCCCCAATGTTAGATTAATCCTTTAGCGACTCTGCTGATTTTGTCTCAAATTTTGATTTTGTAATTTTACTAAATCACTTCTACATTTAAATATTCTTATAGACAAACAATTATTCTTATAGAAAAACAATTATTTTACTACATTTCATGTACTGTATTTTTTTTTATAATTAACAAACAGAATACATTGTCTATATTATTTTTATAGTCTTCTGTAGGACAGGTTGGCTACCCATCCTTTATATATAGTTGCTTGACATTGCATGGTCAGAGAGAAGGTTTATGACAGTCAGAAATAGCTTGCAAAAGGAAATTGCTTGTAGTTCTTTTGGTTTCCTCAGGAGTATGGTAAGACCATACAGCAGTTGCGTTAAAAAAATAGTGACCTATCAGTATGAAAAACTACTGTCAGGAATTGCATAATTGTTGATACTAACACAATGTTATAAAGTTAGATTTTTTTACCCAAATAAGAAATTCTTATATGGAGCAGTAAATAATAACACTTTACAAACATTAGAGGTCCCCTAAAGCTCAGGAAAATTGTTTAGGATCTTGGATTTATTGAGATTGATATCGCTATTGCATTGTTTTGCGAAGTGCAGCCTTATTGACACGTGAATCATTTTTCCTATTGAAACTGTTTCCTATTTCATAGTCATCATTAAACGTAAATGGGGATTGAGAAGCCATATATATATATATATATATATATATATATATATATATATATATATATATATATATATATATATATATATATATATATATATATATATATATATATATATATATATATATATATATATATATATATATATATGTATGACTATGTATCTCGACATATATATGCCTGTGTATCCCCCAAAATACACACAACGGAACATAAACTGATCTGCTGTTCACTTAAACTTTAAGATACCTTATTAACACAGAAGCCAGCAGACAAACTGAAGCATAGAATCCTCCAAACTTACCATTCAGCCACCTGGAGTCATGTTGCTCTGTTCTGATTGGGTGATGCTTGCCAAGAGTGCGAAAGATAGCAAAGTCCCGCCCCATGAAGTCGGCTGATGTTCCAGCGTACAACTCCCCATCTAAAAAGGAGGGGATTGATTAGTGGTAGCATAGTAACCTGAGAAGAACAAAAAAAAAAAAGGCTTTTTGCCCCCGTTGGCTAGATTTAGAAATCTAAGGAATTAAGAAGGGGCTTAGCAGCATAGGTAGATTTTACATCCTCTGAGAACAACAAAGGCATGACAAACATTAAGAGTGTGAAATCGACTTTAGAACAGAAGGCAGGGCAAGGATGGGAGGTTGGGAAATGATGAACGGATTGTTGGTCAGATGCTGAGGGAGAGAACAGAAGTGTGAGACAAGGGGAGTACATAATAATGCTGGTGAGAAAGAGAGAGACAAGGGAGAGGAGATAAGGGTTGATTGGCTGGAAAATAGCCATCTGCTTGGGTAAATGAGGTGGTATAACACAATATGATCACACATAATTGGGGGTCAAGAGAAATATCATGCTCATACACCTCTGCTTTATTTGCCAGGAAAAGGAAGGATAGAGAATTAGAGCCAAATACACCCAATAAAGTGTCATTGACCACACATCTGCACTATTTGAATGACATAAGTCCAGACTGAAATAGAGTTTACAGTCCTGCAAATGACAGGTTCTTAGGGTGTAAATACAAAGCATCCACAGATGCAATACTCCTGTTCTGTTATTGACATTGACGTCACACAGTGTGTACCCACTGAAATGAAAGAGCAAGGCGCAGGGCGTCACATTTTACTGCACACATTCAGGACCACACAGAGTATCTTTCCATAAACTCACCAATTAACATTGAAGCCGTGAGAAGCTTGGGATCATAGGGACTCTTCCCTCTGCCATTTTCTACAAAGGGTGCCAGCCTGAAAACACCATCCTGCATATGCAGGAAGAGACAACAAACCAGGGAGGGATTGTAGATTACTATCAAACACAGGAAGTGGGCACAGTGTTCTACTGACGTAAACTCCATACACAAAATCAGAGCTCCAGTACAAGCAGAATTTTCCTTATCTTTACATCGATTGCTGCTGCTGACTCTTTATGACATCCACAGGATAATAGAAATTCTAAAAGCTACATGTGCTGATGGGATTTGAACTTTAATATATATATATATTTTTTTTTTTTTTTCATCAAAATATTTGGGCCTAAATAATTATAAATTTTTTTTCAGCAAATATTTCTTTGTATATTAGCTTAATGCTTTGTCCCTGTAAGGATTAGTACCAAATTATATTGGGGCGCGATAGCATTGGATGCTTGTTGGTTCAAGCCCTGGCTCAGACTTTCAATGTCTTTGTGTCCTTGCAGGACAGGACACCTCACCCACATTGCCTGCTGATGGTTGTGAGTGGAGATGCCAGTTTATGGCAGCCGTGCTTTTGTCAGTAAGCACCAGGGTAGCTGTGGCTATAATGTAGCTTGCCACCAGTGTGTGTGTGAATGGGCGAACTGCTTTGGTCAAAGTCTCCTTAGTTGAAAAAGTGCTATAGATGTACAGGTCATTTAGCTTTGTTTCTATATAGATTGTTACAAAAGTATTCATACCCCTTAAGCTTTGTGATATTACAGCCATAAACTTCAAAGATTTTAACGGGATTTTAACGACCATTTCAAGTTAGAGTATACAAAAGAAATGGTAGTAAAATTGCTAAACCTTTCTCCAAAGATTAGAAACAAATTTGTAAATTTTCTTTAGTCAATACTTTGTAGCAACACTATTCAATAGATTGACAGCGACAATGTATCTGCCAGCTTTGCACAAGCAGAAACGGATTCTTTTGTCCTTCTGTGTCCGTTATTGTTTGAAAAACAGCTAAAATTTAGTCCGATGGGATGAAGAACATCTGCAAATACAGAGTTTTTTTATTTTTGTATTTTTTTAGTAGGATCATTATACCGGGTTGTTGCACAGGGTGTTTACGCTGGTATTCATATAGACGGATATTTATATTTATAGCTATTGCACTGGGTGTCAAATATAGAGAAACAATTATTTTACAGGGCATCAAATGGTAAATTTCACATCATACATTGCACAAGTTATTGCTGTTGTAGTGTCGCATTGTAGAGTCTGGTGGCAGCAGGGCTGAATGACCTGCTCCTTTTTACAAACTGGGTATATTGAGTCCTTCACTAAAGGAGCTGCTCAGCTCCTCTACTGACTGGTGCAGAGGGTGGAAGGTGTTGTCCATGATGGATGTATGCTTGGACAGCACCCTCCTCTCAGCCACTTCCTCCACTGAGTTCAGAGCGCAGCCTAGGACAGAATCAACCTTTCTTACTAGTTTGTTCCGTCTCTTTGTGTCCCGCTCTACGCTGCCAGGGGCCCAGCAGACAAGAGTGTAGATCAGGGCTGATGCCACCACATAGTTATAGAAAGTTTTAAGCAGGGGCCTGCTCACTCCAAAGGATCTCAACCTCACCTTCTCACCTTCTTTTTCAAATTCAAATGAGCAGTAACATAGGAGAACATATCAGTACTTGAACTGAAACTTGTGTTTAATCTCTATTATGATGTAAATGTTTAAGCACTACTGTATATCACCAAGTCCCACTTGACAAAGGGATTTTAAATCTCTATTTAGTTTTACCTGGTTAAATAAAGTATATTCATTGTATAACCTCTGTTATTTCATTAAATAATCCCTTTTCAAATGTGCGCATCATATCACCTTCATGTAAACATGGTGCATGAAATTATTATCTACAGCTCACATGCAAAGGAGTAAAGCACACCCTTTCTTTCAGTGTGTGAGTGTGTGTGTGAATGGGTGAATGAATGTAGTGTAAAGCGCTTTGGTCAAGTCTCCTGACTTGAATAAAGGTGCTATATAGGTACATGCCATTTACTATTTCTTTCATGGGTGTAATTGTATCATTGTTTCTGGCAGCAGATAAGTATAGAAATAGATTTGAAAGCTGTACCTCTGGTTTCTTGCCGACTTCCAGGTAGGAACATACAGGGTGGAAGGCTCCTGTCCCACACACATAGAAATGGCTCTGGTTGAACGGCTGCAGTAATTTTATGAAATGTGCACACTCTCTCTTATGAAGAAAAGCCAGAGAAAACACAAACATAATTAAAAATAATCATTTTCTTGCAACTGCACAACAACCTTTAAAGCGTGCTGGATTTTGAACAATCTTTTTCTTAAAGCAAGTTTAAACTTCTTCAGAGAAAATGTAAATCTTAGTCTTTAACTTATTTTAAATTATCCAATATTAAATTCAGTCATTTAGAATAACTTACATATTTGGTTATAGATGTTTAAGGGACCTCACAGAGATCTTGACTTTAGAATTCTATAGATAGAGTGTCACTTTCCTTAAAATCCAAGCATTTTCTACATAAGCTTTTAGGGTAATCTGAAAAGGTAGCTGCACTTCTACCCTATGCATCTTTGCTTGTAGATGTTGAAAGTCAGAAAGTTAGACATTGCTGTTCAATCATGCTACAACAGGATTAAAAAAACAAACAAAACTAAACTAAGGAAACAGGTCTGAACAAAAGTTATGGCGCACCTAGAAAGGACAAAAAATAATGTGACCAAAGAGACATGTTAAATCACGATGTGTCGACTAAATAGCATTGCAGGTGCCTACAATCTTGTAATCAGCCTTTGGGCTTACATATAGGGCACCGGGGTGTCAGTGCACTTTGGTGACATGATATATGCAACACAACATGGACCACAGGAAGTTTTCTGAGTTGCTTTGAAAGAAAATGATAGACAAGCATCTTAAAGGTAAAGGCTATTATATCTTCTTCAAGCAGCTTGAACACAGAGTGTCTTGAATCTCTGCAGGGTGCAATGAAATCTCAAGAACATTAAGGGATTCTAGAGAGAAATGTGCTGCCAAGAGTCAGAAAGTTTGATCTCAGTTGCTGGTCATGGGTCTTGCAACATGATAATGACTGAAAACACTTTGTTCATATTATTATATCTAACAACTTGGGATAAATGATTGATTATTATTTGAGAGTTATGACAATATCAAAGACTTTCACAAATCAAATATTGTGAAATGCTTTTCCATCTCTAGACCTGAATCCTATGGATACATAGATTTTCCTCTCTAGACTTTACATTTAATGATTTAGGCTTGTAGCATACAAGCAAACTTCCTGTATTACAATATAACAATGACTTTATCTTTCAATGCGGAGATTTTGTTTTCAAATATCGTAAGGACACAATTTTCTGTCTCGATTAATATACCAAAACAGACATTTCACAGCATGGTGTTCGTTCCTCTCATATACGCTAAAATGGCCCCTGTACAAATATTCTAAATCTATTTTCACATAGATATGATAGGCAGACAAAAAATAAATAGTTAAAAAAAGGATTGTTCTAAATAAGGTGTAATTAACTTAAGCTGGACAGTAAGTTATATGAAAACCACTTGCTAGCCATTGGCTTTACATATGGTTTGGTTTATAAAATGAATTAAATGTATACGGTAATTAAAATAACCTGTTACTGCATATTTTGTAATCAGATTAGTTTCATAGCTAAAATTTGCATGAAAAGGGGGACAACTTGTTTTCTTTAAGTAATTTCAATATATCAGTATAATGTGTCATCAAAATCTAGATTAATCAGACCTGATTCTGAATAATCTAGATTTTTAACTATGCTGCAGAATGTCTAATGTGTGAATTGTGCTTTCATTAACTAATACAGCAAATAAAAAATAACAAAAGGCACTATACTGAGGGATGAAAACTAGACAATTTAAACTAAAGCACTTTTCCAATTCTTTCAAAAGACTTTAAATAACTTTTCAATAATTTTAAATGGAATCTATAGTTTAGGACATAGATTACAAAAGCTTTTGTCTTTTCATTTGATTCTTGTAGCGTCTCTAACTTCAATCAATCTTATTTGGTTCTTTTGTCTCTGCTTTGTTTGTCTCTGCTTTGATTTAAGACTTTTACAGGGTTTTTATGGATGCCATCACCTTTTCTCTCCGTCTCCCTTATATCTATCTTTACAACAGATAACCCTCCCTTAGGGGGGATCTTTTTTACATCACATCATCTCAATGTTTACAGAAAACACACAGAAGACTTCACAGTTTTTTAGTTCCATAGCAGAGGTGAACAGAATGCCAGAGGCTCTTGACTTTTTCTGGTTAAAAGAAAGAAGAAAAACAACTGAGCCAAAAACAGCATCAACAAGGTCTTGCATCCAAGTTGTGCTGGGGGGCCTTTAAAAGACAAAAACCATCACTTAAAGGAAACAGAGATAAAACTGTGGTTGTGTTTGCATGGGATTTCTGCATATCAAGAAATTTAATCTAACAAGAGCTATAGGATTTTGATAAACAAAATTGTTTTAATTGCATCAGCTTTAATTTTAGATGTGTATTCAATGCATCTTTATTTTTTCTCCAAACAAATAAATTCCACCAAAATTGAACTACAATTTCATCTTATTTTATTCATATAAAATGATAGCCCTTTTGAAAATGTTTTGCACTATCAATTAACTAATAGTGATTCATAGTGACATTCTCCAGGCAGAGTTTCATTTTAGTATTTGTTATCCAAATACTAAAATCATTTTTAAATAAGACAACCTTAGGCAAAAAAAGAGAAAGCAAATTGGTAGTGGTGCTAAAAGCTGTTGGGACATTTGGTGCAGGAGAAAGGGTAAAATGAAAAAAAGCCAACCTTCAACACTGCTAAAATTAAAAATAGAATGCCTTCAAACAATTGTTTTATCAAAATACATTCTCAATGTTTTTATTAATTCACCAAGTTTTTTTGTTACGAGAGTCAGATGAGGATAAGTGAATTATTGGCAGGTAGGGCTCAGGAGTGTTGGCAGAATATAAAATAGGCTGAAAATAAAAGAAAGACTAAAAAGGCACAATTTCCCCACAGTGTTCTTTTTAATACCTCTCAAAATTACAATTTAATAACGGATATATCTGTGCAGTATATGTCAAAGTTTCATAATATAGCATATTATGAAATCAGTCTGTGCTTTTTACACAAACTGATACTTCAGTTGAGGAGATAAGCCATCCGATTAAGATGTTCTTAATGCTTGTAAAATCCGCAGGTTAGGACCTGAAGCTCCATGTTGATAAACACAATGAAAACAACAATTGCTTAAGATAATAAATTCTATCATAAATAATAACTAGAACATTATTAAAGTCTGTAATTCCTTTTTTTTTTGTATTATATGTGCACTTATACATGTGCATTGCTTTGGCTTGCCCAAAAGTAAAGCATCCTTTTATCAATTATAAAATGAGGTCCATTTTGCTTTGTGAATCCGCTGCTGATAAAGGACAGAGATCGCTATAAATATCTTAAGAAAGGTGCTTTCCAGACATAAAATCTGTTCTGCAACCAAAAAAAAGGAATGGTTGTTGCATGAAAAAGACTCATTTTAAACATAATCTAGATAGCTGGATGGCTTACCAGGAGATTTTTCCCTGCCCACTTGCATTCATCTCTTCTGGTGGGAGAAGCAGTCCAGGGGATCTGCAACACAAAGTTTATGCAATAAAGGCCTCTTCCTGCATCTACAATAATTTCTGTATCAGTGATAGAGCTACAGCATGTGTAAAGAAGTGTGTTTTTGAGAGTGGAAGGGGTCACAGTGAAGTTTGTTATCCACTTTGTTTCGGTTTACAGCATGAGTCACCCAGGTGTGCAGAGTGCAGCAAACATGTCTGTAACAGAGGTTGTCTGCATGAGACAGCCCTAGTCTGAAATATACATGAAGCACTTTTTCTTTAGAAAAAGAATCCCAAGGTACCTGAGGCTAGCACTCTGGTTTGAGACAACTAGTCGTGTAAGTCGGTCAGAAACCGATTTAAGGTCATAAATGAATAAAACTGGCAAACACAGCACATCCAAACCGCATGCTTTACCTGTGCTTTGTCTCTGCTTATATTGAGGAGGTTGAAAGAGAAAATGTGATCCTTTGCTCCCACCAGAAGCCTTCCTTTCTCCTCATCCAACACGAGAGTGTGATACGCCGAGCTATTAGCCAAGCCTTCAAATGTTACCAGGTTGTTGGTCTCTAACATTTCTGTAGAAAGAAAAATGAAATTGGCATTCTACAGTTATAAAACATAAGAATATGTTTAATGCAAAAAGACATGTCAAAATCCACTGAACTTAAAGGAGAATTCCGGTTTTTAACACTTTTAGCCCATTTTCTGTAGTGTCCAGGATGAAATCGAATGATCGACACCAAAATTTTGACAATTGGTCCTGTCTCTGCTTTTTGGCTCATTTAGAATCCACCCCTGGCTGCTTCAGAACGGCTTCCATAGTGCATGTCCGATAATGTCCTTAAAACAACCTTAAACGTCCTTTTTTTTTAAATATGCTATGTGCTACGTCGAGAATCAAGAATCCACCTTTCGTATTCCATTTTCAGAGTTTTTTAAAGTGTTTAACAGAGACGTTAGCACCTCGACGTCGGAGTACACAGAGTGGAGCGAAAAGACTACAACTGTGTAAACAGGCCCCATTTCCGTTTCCGGTGGCAGGGGAATATTGAGTATTCCAACAGAACTCAATGGGATTTACAAAATGCTAAATAAAACACTACAGGAACGTTTTTTCTTTACAAAACTTTTTTTGGAACGTCATTGAACAGCGCTGACGACCCGGTGAGTAGCATATTTTAAAAAAAAGAACGTTTAAGGTTGTTTTAAGGACATTATCGGACATGCACTATGAAAGCCATTCTGAAGCAGCCAGGGGGTGATTCTGCATGAGCCAAAAAGCAGAGACAGGACCAATTGTCAAAATTTTGGTGTCGATCATTCGATTTCATCCTGGACACTACAGAAAATGGGCTAAAAGTGTTAAAAACCGGAATTCTCCTTTAAAAAGGAGTTCTAACAACATCTTTCTATATATAAAATATTTGTTACAGTAAAATACCAGATACAAAGGTGCCCCAACATAATTTTTCAAGCTTTTACTCCCAGAAAGATTTTCCTGGTACTTTGTTTGTTAAAGCAAAAAATAAAAACTACAAAATAAAAATAAAGAGCTACAAAATAGTGTGAAATCTATGAAAAGCCAGTGCTAAAAAACAGACTGTGACTGTTAAAAGAGCTACCAGAAAGAGCTACACATACTAGTGGGATATTATATCAATCTGCTTATGTTTTACAGACCAAGTGTTGAGCTTTTATTTATGTGCACCATTTGTTTCAACACTTTGTAATCCACTTTAGCCCACTCTTTGGAAGTGAGCTAAAGAACTGGTTTACATTAAAAGACTGGAAGACTTGTCCAACAGTGCCTTTGTTTCAATTACAGACCCATGGGTGACGTTCTAAGACTGGGATTGGAATACTGTGTGTATGTAACATCTTAATGCACAAAGAAATACACATAGTAATTTATTTTCCTTTTCACATTTGTCTTGCCAGCAAAGTCTTACAAGACTATGACCCCCTCAACTTTCATTCTTCCACTGGCAGCCTTGCAAAAGCTACTAAAAATTCTGGAAAAACAAGAAAAAAATCCTTGTTGGGTGTTCTGCAGTTTTATTTCTTTATTTCTAAGTAAGATAAAAGAGACAAACAGAATCACTCATAAATGCTTTATCAGAGAATGCCCACTTCTCTGAAGTATGTCAGAGCCCGAGAGAGAGAGAGAGAGAAAGAGAGAGAGAGAGAGAGAGAGAGAGAGAGAGAGAGAGAGAGAGAGAGAGAGAGGCAGAAAGGCTAATTAAAGTAGTAAGTGATAAAGAACATAGCAGAAGAGAGGGAGTCACACTGACTTCTTTGCTTATTTAAAAGCTTTTTTTTTTTTTAAACTGCAGACCACCAAACAATGCCCTGAAAAAAAAAAAAACTATTACCCACCTAACCAGATAACAAACAATCCCCTGTTGTAAAGAAAATCCCGCAGCAAACAAACAAGGCAACACATGGAGACAAATACTAATAATAAACATAACACATCCTGTTAACATTGAAAAAAAAGGAAAACAACAAATCATGAAAACCTTCCAATGTAATGTGATTATAATAATGCATCAATAATAATAATAATAATAATTGTTATTATTAGTATTATTATTAAAGTAAAAAAGCTAGACCCAGAAAGCTGAATAAAGAATACACAAAAAAGTATTCAAAGAAAGAAAAACCTCCAATCAAGTTTTAAAGCTACAGTGTGTAATTTTTAGTGACATCTAACGTCCAGACTGCAGACCGCAGCAACATGAACATCTCCCCTCCACCGCTTCTCCCCCCCAACAGTACGGCGAGCGTTACGGGACAAAATGTCTTCCACGACGTTTGCATCACCTACCTTCTCAAGTGATGAGGTTTGTTTACATAGATAATTTTACAGATAGTATTTTATTAGTCTGTGTAGGGTATAGATTTCAGTACCGTCTCAGTTCATCTCTCTCAACTTGCCGTAGTTACTTTCGAGCGTAATGGCGATCTCGCAATCGCTAGTTTGTTGGCTCTGCGCTGCCGTAGCGCAAAGATGTCTGCCTCCATGGCTGCGAGACCCGCTCCTTTGTAATTATAAATAACGAATTCTAAGGCAACGCAAATATTAAGGTTAAGAGGCTGAGCTCGTAGATGATGATAAATAACATAGTTATGTATAATATATTAGATTTCTGACTGTATATCCCTGTAATTATTACACTGTAGCTTTAAACCAAAACTAACCAACCAAAGGTAAGAAACCATAAAACAAACTTTGCAATAAGCAACATCCATCCATCCATCCATCCATCCATCCATCCATCCATCCATCCATCCATCCATCCATCCATCCATCCATCCATCCATCCATCCATCCATCCATCCATCCATCCATCACACTAATTCTCATTCAAGCACTTTTTTTTATTTATTTTTTTACAACATTTCCAATTTTCAAACGTGAAAGTACACTATGTGCATAACCGCTATAGGTTCTCCTCCCACTCTTTAGACAGGAAAATAAAGTAGGGCTGTAACTTATTTTGCAAATTTATTAATCTGTTGATTGATTGATTATTTTTTCAATCAATCTATTAATAATCAGATAGTCAATGGATTCTTTAAGGAGAATCAAAGCAGGTGAAACTAACTTTTTTCCACTTGAGGAGTTCTGCTTAGAGCATGTTGATAATTTATTTTTAACTTAAATTCAAAATATTTATGTTTTTTTTTTTTTTTTTTTTTGGTTAGTGTTGCGCCAATGCCATATTTTGGCCCTGATACCGATACTGGATACCTGGCTGTGCAGTATCAGCCGATACCGATACCATACAGATACCATCTGTTTGAAATTAATGTGTGTGTATATTTGAAGAACTGCATACTATTTGGATGTAAAATAATTACCATCATGGCTTTGTCAAGCTGCTGCCTACCTTTGTGAAGCAGGAAAAAGACCAATGTGAATCCAGTAGAACTTTTTATTGCCTACCTGGAATGGGTGACAATAGTTGATTAAACCTTTGGCTCTCAAAATGGTATTGATGCCCTATTTTTTGGTTGTCACTGATACCGATACCACCATTTTAGTGCAGTATAGGGGCCCTGTCCGATACTGGTATCGGTATCGGTGCAATACCAATTTTGGTATAATTACTGCTCTAAGTGGGTTGCTCTGTCAGCTAATGGCATATTTGAGAGTCTCTATACTCCACTTAATGATTAACCAATTACTAATTTAGTTGACAATTATTTCAATAATCGATCAGTCACGATTAATCCAATTAATTGTTTTAGCCCTAAAATAATGCCTATATTTTCACTCCACCTACACCTGCGATATATCATCGCAAAGCTTATCTTATTGGCTAACAAAATATTTTGATCAAAGGTCGATTGGTTCATATATTGTGGAGCACCAGCGAAACAAAACACTTTGTAACACATGCGCATGGGGAGTGCCTTTTTTTAACATAGAAGATCTTTTCATCGTATTGTGGATAGTGAAAATGGAAGCTACACTCGATGTATTGAGTAAATAGGCAGGTGAATAAATCCATGAAACCTAGATTAGTAAACTAAAAATGGCAGACTGGTATCATTATGAAGATGGATTATATGTTTTCACCCTTATGTTTTTTTTTTTAAAGCAAAAAAAATGACCTTTGATGGATTATTACACTTGATTTTACTTTTTGAGAAACACAACTGAATAATACTTTTCTGTGGAATGTTACAGACATAATGAGCCTACTTTTGCCATTCTCTAGCATGTTTAAGATTGCCACAACAGAAAAACAAGGGAGGATCTATAAATTATGAATTCAAAGTTGATGAAGAATTATTAATTTTTGGTTTTTGTAGTGTAAGGCTGGCTAACAGTTGAGTTGATGGTCATTTTCCTTAGGATTGCCTGATTCTAAAGAAGTATAACATACAAGGTTACATTTTGATATGAGCGTATACTTGATGCAGAAAATAAAAACATACCAATATCGTGTGTGGATGTTAGTTTTAGACTTTTGAGTGTGTTTTGGCTTAACAATTGGTCTTTTAGAAAATATTTCATTAATGTTTGTATGTGAAGCCTTATCAGATATCGTCTATGTATGGTATAGCTGTTTTGTTAATTATCCTTGTTTTAGCCAACAAATCTCTCTGCTTTTTGTGAATACTCCTGTTTTATACGTCATAGCTTTTTTTAAAGTACCCTATCTATCATTGGAGGTTAAGGAAATGAGGAAAGATTTTAAAAGACACATTAAAACTAAGCATTATTTAGGCTCTGAAGTGCACACAAAGTGAAAAAGGCAGTAATTAAAGAGCTGTATTAAAACAGAAAATGTGTGTAACTTATGCAAGGAAAATGGGGGAACACAATAACTGGATTTATAAAAGAACAGGGAACAAACAGTAAAATTCCCTCATTCTATACAGATTCACACAGTGCTAGTTTTTTAAATTATCCAAATGAGAAGTGTCCATGGCAACAAACCATTCAACAGAGACTACAGCTAAGTTATTAGAACCCAGTCAACAGAGACAAATACACTTTGGGAATTGTGTGTGGAACTGTGTAACGTGTGTTTGTAAAGCTTACTGGTTGTGTGGTTTTGAA